AAAAGCATTTTCCCAATTTGTATTTAAGAAAAAAAGGTTTTTCACATACTCTCCTCACAAAGGAACCCAGTGTTTGCTCTTCACACTATGCATTGTGCAGCTAATTTAATAAAAAGCAAAACACCCAACAATTTACAAATATTAACTTATGCCTGAAGTTTACCTCTTCATAATCACACTTTGAGGTGTTGGCCTTCTAACTTTTTATTATTTAGTTATCAGTGTCTTTCCACTAGTGAATCTGCCTTTGGTCCTTGTGCTCCCTGCATAGCTTGGATTTATTAGCTCCAATTGCATTTCAGATGAGTGGCTTTCTGATATTAAAGGGCTTTCTTGTGGGGTGGGGGATGGGGGGAGAGGGGTCTATCAGATTGCTGCACTATCTGGCACCTCGAATCCTGCTTTGGAGCTTTGACTGGCTGTGGCACAAAGGTTGGTTACTGCAGATAAGCTATGTCTTTGTTGTGACTACTTTTTTTTGCCCATATGATAGTGTGTTGTTCCTTGAAAACCCTTGAAATTTTAAGACTTTCAAAACTCAGGGTTATCTTTCCATTTTGTGACTAAAACATCTCTCTAATTATTGAAGGGAATGGATTAAAAAAATAACAGAAAAGTGAAACAATAAACATTATGCAAACAGTAAAGAGCCAATAGGGCAATTACCAACCCAGTATTTGCATGGAGAACCTTTCATCTAAGGATCTCAGAGAGCCTGAAGAACATTAACAAATTCATGAGGAATATGTTGCCACAAACAAATATTTCATTAGTCCTTTCAGAAACTAGTCAAATCTTATGAGCCCTTCTGTGGAAGTGTTTATGCAATTTTGTGATGGGGAAGCCTGTGCTTTAAAAGAGTAATTATAGAGATCAGATAAGCACAGCTTTTCTCTGTTGAAAATCAGTTCCAGTTGGTATTACTAATGCCCCTCCATCACCAGCCTACTCAGTTCAGCCAGCAGTCTGTCTTTTGATGTAGCAGCATATTTATATTGGGGAGCTAAATGTGCTTATATACATGCTGGGGGATGAAGAGGGATTTTAATTAGAGCCGTTTCTGGAGAGCCACTCTAATTAGAATGCTGCAGCTTCATGTTTATTGAGCTCCTGTGCATTTAAAAATGATTGCAGGATGCTTTAACTAAAGGTCATTTGACAAGCTTCAGTTAAAGCACCCCAGTGGCCATTTTTAAACCCACGGGGGCTTATACATGTGATGCTGCGGCAATGCTAGGGTGTTCTAATTAGAACATGTTGGAGCAATTGTATAGGCACCCTAACTTCTTGGAGGAGGAAATTGTGGACAATGTGATCTCGCCATTGCGATTCACAATGAACTCAAAATGGACTTTTGAACATACATTTATAGAAGCCTTACACTTGGCCACATACAGGAAGAGAGCATGGCTCTTGTTTCACCTCGAGAGTCTAAGACCCTTTTTCCACTCTATGGCCCCTTTTAATTTCTGACTGAGACCTGCACTGAACCAGATTAGGTGAGGTTTCAGGTTTTATAATGAAAGTTTTCACCGCTGTAGAGTTAAGTTGCTTTTGTACTTCCAGATATCAGATGTTTGATGGTTCACAAGCAGGTGTTAACAGGGAGCTGTGCAAACTGTAAGTAGCTGTTTCACTGGACCTACTTTTGGGAGTAAATTGAAGGTGATCTCAGCTGAGGGTAAGCAAAGTGAGGTAAATACCTGAAAACTCTTTTGCCCAAATCTTACTTCTTCCTTACATCTATGCTGCAAAATAGCCTTTTCTCCCTTCCTGTTTTCTTTTGTGTTTGATTGGCTTTTTGTGTGTGTTTGATTTGTTGCATTTTCTAAGTGGAGGAAAGAGAGCGGTATACCATATCAGTGTACTAAAAATAGCAGCAGCAGAAGCATTTTACCTTGTTTCTATATCTATTCTGAAAGATGATAAAAAAACATGCAGCATTTGCTCTGTTTGGATTTAACTATGGTTTCACTGGTGCCACTATTGTACTTCAAGTTGTGGGTGATTCCTATACTAAGAGTGCAGAAAGTGAAAAGATTGTACAGGTCCCTGTTCATCCCTACATTAATTCAGAGACCAGGACTGGAGAGTATATTTGTGGCATACCCTAACTTGGGTCCAGGTGTCCAGGGCCCCTTTAGGTATAGGTAATGAATTGTTGGGGTGATTAATTGCTCTGCTGCCTGCACCTACCACATGCTCCAGAAGGTATCTATCCTGTTTGGGGTTGGTTGCAGTATTACATGGTGGCTTCCTGTGTCTGAGGTTTGTCACAGGTAGAAAGTAGTGGCTTCTGGCACTGGTTCAAAGAGGCCATAACTACGAGTAGTCCTGCTACATGGACAATGTTAAGAACTATATGGAGAAGCACTACCCTCTCTTCATTTTGTATAAAAAGCAGATGAGATTCCTTGATCTTTGGCTTATGCCTAAAATAACAAAAGTTGCTGTTTTACAATAAAAGCAACTACTATAAACCTTTGCTCTGAGTATGATTCATGCAAGTGCCTTAATTAGCATGTGGTTACAACATTTGAGTGCATATTGTCTTTTAGAAGGTCTATATAAAAACATCCTATATAAAAACATTTGAAATATGCAGCCAGGTACTTCTATCAACAACCTCTTGCATAAAGTGTATTCTTTCCTATGGTTTTGGCATTATGATACTTTAAACTCCTACACTATTGTTTCTGTCTTTTATGAAGAACTTACACAAACATAAGATTGGAAATTTCCCACTTCATTATTTTAGTTCATCAAATAGGTTTTATATGTATATTGGTCATTTTAACTGAATTCTGAAGTCTTCATAAACTGAGAAATATAACATTTCATTACACAATTACAGCTAATTATTTTAGAAATACAGTTTAAATGCAAGTTATCTTAAATTTATTGCTTATCTGACTGAGAAGATCTAAGCAAAACCTGAAAATCATAAAACCTTCCAGAACATTATATTTTATGCAGTCCAAAATGTGACACATGGGGTCTTTAATAATTCACTGCTTGTTAACATTAAACAACTGTTAACATGCTCAAATAATTAGTTATGCTTGCTTGACATGTTTGCATCTTTAATAATTGATGCATTTATCTTAATTACTAACAGTATTATGGTCGTAATATGCATCTTTTTTCTATCTTAAAATTTTAACAAAAACTGACTTTTTGCCAAAAATGATTATCCTCTAAGTTTTAATTACTCGTTGTAATTAAATTGCAAGCTGCAGTATTTTATTAAAAATATCTTTCACAAAAATATTTAATGGAAAAGAGGTGATTTGTTGTTTATGCATCACAGTTAGTAAATATTTCATAAGTTTCATATTACCCTTTCAGAGCGAATATAAAAAACATAACATTCTTAATACAAGAGTCAATTTAAAAGCTGCTATAGCAGTCCTCAATTCTTCCCCCAAAGGTTTCCTGAAGTCAATGAGTAAAGTAAGATAAAACAAAACAAAACAACAAAAAATCATTGTGATTGCATGGAGGAAACACACAGTAACTGGAACCCAAGTTCTAGTAATTAGCAACGACCATGGCTGAGAGTGTAGTGGAGCCTTGAAAGGAGTTTATTTGACCTGAAATGAAGATGAATATTAAAAACTATTTCATTTTTCAATATTCTTTCCAGTCAACATCACTCTTGCATGCTGCTAATGACAGCAGTAGTGGTAGAGCTTTGCCTGTAATCAATTATGTATTTATTAAAATCCTGGTAGAGACAGGGTAAGACTTAATTGAAGAATGTCAGACAGTTTCAGGGAGGCTGTGTTTTTGAGATATGTCTTTCACATTGTTAAGATGGGCTATTTTGATGAGATTTACTTCCCTTAGTTCTTCATCTTATGAAGACTATGCTGATAGCTGCCCTTCACTGTCTTTTGTTAAGTGCCTCACTGTTTCATCCCACCACTTTCTAAATGGCTAAATATATGAAGCACCAAAACAGGAATGGATGAAAAATGGTATAGTTGCAAGGCCTGTGAGTGTGAAAGTAGGGGCAGATATCTCATGAGTGCCAAATAGAAATCATCATTGGGTTCAGGGTTAGTCACTGAATCTGCCAACCTCAGAAGTTTTCGTTGTGCTTAATTAGTTTGGAGACAGAGCTCTACAGAAGAGCAGCTTGAGATCTGCTGGAGAAGAATACAACATTGGGTTGTAATGCTCCTGGGAGTCCTGGGCAGTGTATTTTGCTGGCTTTCTCAAACATGTTTATTGAAGACAGTCAAGTAGATCCTTCATGATTCTTGAATACTGTAACATGTAAAAAAAAGACCAAAACCCCCTATTTTGACCAAGAATGACTGTGCTACCCAGTTCCTCCCATTGCTACTCAGTCACTACGGCCCTAGAATCTGTGGCATATATAGCCTAAGGTGAAGAATTGAACAGGCTGAGAGGAGTGAGTAGATTAAGAGTAATTTATTGCTTCCAGAAGCAAAATTTTTGTGAGTGATAACTTGTATTGGGCCAACGACATATTTCCTGGATTATCATGGGTACATCACTCAAGTATTTCCTTCAGTATATTCCTAAGAACACCCAGCAATTGCTTAAAAACATGGAGGAAAACACATGGGAAATAACAAAGACTTGTTATACATCTGTGATTAGGGTCTCTTCCTTGGTTATTTTTAGACATGTTTAAGCAGCTGAAAAGTCTTACCTAAAAGACCATGAAAAAGAAACATCCCATTCTGCCTCTCTCTCTATTACCTTAATGTCTTCCCAATTCATTTCAATGAGTGTGTGGGGATATTAGATCTGAGAAGTGGTTATTTAAGTATCTGTGCACCTCTGAATGCTTGAGTTGCTGCTTATTTCTAGTGCTGTACTAGTCAGGTTTACTTCTCTCTCTTGGAGATAGGTCAAATTGTACAGTTGAGACATGGATCCAAAACTACTTTGAAGTGTAAGAGTGTTTAGATTCAGAGATTTGATTCAATCTTTTGTCTACTTTTTATGTATATTTTTCCATGAAATTATACTAGCCACGTGGCTGGTCATCCTAATCCCTGCAGATGCACTTTACCTGCCCTCTCTGATACTTTTAAAAACTTTTCATGCTTGCAGAGCCTTCATGTCTCCAGTCTCCAGAAAAGCTCTTTCTGTTATGGTTCTAGAGTTAATAAAAATGTACACATTGCCAGCCTATAAATCAATTTTTTCCAATATATGGGTGTATCTTCAGATTTCAGAAAAGTGTAATTAAAAAAAAAAGGTCTTGGCTAGGCAGGTCTGGGCCCTAGCTAGGACGATTGTGAAAGTGAACACTAAAGAGGAGTCCCAGCACAATAGTGCTTAGCTGCAGGATGTCCATATTTTTCTCAACTATACTAGTATGAGGTGTAGAATTCAGTCCACTTTGGAAGTGAGGGATAGAGTGTGTGGTGCGCCAGTAGACGGTGCTTCTGCACTGAGCCACCCATCTTACTGTGTCTGACCACTTTCAAAGATCCAAGTGCCTCCCTGGGGGCACCTCATGTCTGGCCGCCCCCCTTCCTGAAGCACACCCGCTAGCCTGGGGGTAAAGTGACCACCACCCAGGGTCTGGACTGATCCTGGCTCTGTGCCCCCCAGGAAACACTGGCCTAGTAGCCCTTGGGGGTATTCAACCCACTTCAAGAACTTGGCGTGCTTCCCTTAGTCTGAAGCACAAATAGTGGTCTCCTTTAGTTAGCCAAACCAAGGGGACCCCAAGGCATAATCTAGACCCTCTCCCAATAAGTCTCCCGTGCTAGGTACAAAGGAGAACTTTATTGGTTAAAAGGAGTGGGTTTGGAATAGGGTACAGGGTAGAGTAATATCAAAGAAATCCCACAGAGCAAACAGGGTGGCTGGGTAGCCTTTGATCACACATCTGAGTTACTGCAAGCTGTATATCTAGTTAGATCTCAGGTAGCTTACTCACAAGTATCATCCAGAGGCAGGTGGATTTTCCCTCTGGAGGCAGGCGGTTCATTAATCATGAGTTTCAAGAGAGAGCAAGTTTCAGATGATCCAGCTTCTAAGTTTTCATCATGGCTACCGCTCCTCCTCCTGGGCAGTCCTTAACTTATGATTTCATTTACCTGGTCCAATGGAGGCCAGCACCTGTTGGCTGCCAGCCAACCAATTTGAAATGCATCACTGGTTGCCGGGTAGACTGGCATTGTGTAGAACAATAGGGAGCCTATGGCAGTAAGAAGCCCCCACAGGCACCAAGGGGGCTGGGGGTAACCCCAAGTGCCCCCGAAGTAAACAAACAGGCCCCCCACATCCTGGGAAACTTACCTTTGGGAGTGGGACCTAGGATGGAGCTGGAGCCACGGCTACAGCTGTGGCTGCATGAGCTGGTGTTTTGCCAGCTCTTCAAACAGCTGATCCATGGTCAGAGTGGCACCCAGCTGATTGCAGCAGCTGATGCCACCACCATGGGAAATTTAAAAGCCCTGATGGAAACCAGCAGGAGCAGAAGGTGGGGAGGAAGAGTGAGCCAGCAAGAAGCATGCAGGTCAGGCAGCCCCAGCGGCTCTGAAGGCTGGTAAGGGCAGCAGAGCAGACACTGCTCCGCTACTGAGGTGGAGGGGGCATGTCAGGCATTAGGCTAGGGACAGACCATCCCCAGCCCAGCAACCTTAGAATTTATTGGGAGTATCCCTCTCCTGAGGAGGGGGAGGAAGGATGCCAAGAAACCAAGGAGTGCAGTCCTTTAGGATCAGAGACTGTGGCTCCAGTAATGATAACATCTAGGCAACCAGCTGGTTGCCTGAAGCAGATGCCAGACCACCCCCATAACAAAGGGGGCTCACAGAGATCGGCGGAGCAACCGGCAGAACATCCAAATGCTTGGTGAGTGGACAGGGTGTAGGGGAGGTGGAGCCCCAAGGAACACCATGGCACGAATGTGAGTACTTCCGTCACCAGGTCACCCCAGAAGAGGAACACTACTGAACACCTCCTTTCATCCAGTAACAACAAGTCATGGCAGGTGAGTTGAAGGGTGCTCCGGTCAAAGGGGGTGCGGTACAGTACTCACAGTGTCCACTAGAGATGCCACAGAGCCTAAGTCCCCCACCTAGGTATGAGATGCCAGTCACATAGGCAGAGGAAGCAGTCTTCCACCTCTCTCAGGAATGTATTCAACTCAGGTTGCAACTCAGGGTTAGCTAAAGAGATGGGATTTCTGCGCTCTACAGGGACCATGTTAACCAAACTGGCACATAGCAGAGTTTTTGGGGAGAGACAGAGGTGGCATTCTGCCACAGATTGTGTTTTGGGTTTTTTCCCATATGTTTTTATAGTATTTTAGGGGGAGGAAATTGTCTGGCATTAGATTATAGCTCAGTGAATTTAATGAACAGATTATGGCAAACTAATTTTAAGACAATATTGAAATTAAAGAAAAGGATACTATGTAGAAATACAAGCTTGAACTATCTGCTTTGTTTTATCTTATTCTAGGTTTCTACTTTTGTAAGATATTAATTTTATTGGAGTTTTTTTCAATTTTAGGTCACCGTTTTGGAGCTTTTACTTTGCTTGTAAGAATGTGAGAAAATCAGGTTGAATGCTGCTGTCAGACTGATAGTAATCCTTTCAGAGTGCAGTTCTATACCAACTACTTTTCAGCAGGATCCATAATTTGCTCAGAATTTTTAATTTCAAAACATGCAGATTATTGTTTCTACATTAAAACATTGCAAAGTAGGGTGGCACAAAAGAGTAAGGGTATGGAAAGGTCTCTTGATTGTTCTTTAGAATTATAACTTTCATTTAAAATATATATACTGTATCCCATGCACTAAGCAAGGTATGAATTTTTTAGGAAAATATATTGTCATTAAGGATGGTATCACAAGGCGAAAAGAAACAGACACTAGATTCTGGAATTTTCCTGAATGCCAGGCTTTACAACCTATATAGCAATTCAAATTTAGCTTGCATACATAATTTACTTCTTTAAAGGAAAGGACTAACACCATTATTTTTGTCTAGATTTGTGACCATGCACCCAGCAGGCATCAAGAGCAGAGTCTGAACCTTGAACCTCAATATTGAATTTTGCCACATCAGCTTAAAAGGCTATTCTATCATGTTAGGTATAATAGAAGAATTTGAGTGTTGCTGAACCGATGGTCCAGGAAATATGCAAGAAGTAAGGTGAAGGGAAGCAGGGGGGAGTTGTTGATATCTTTTATGGGCTTCTAGATCCCGCGCCAGTATCTGCTGCTGCTTATTCAGTGATGTAGGCCCATCCTTTCTGAATATTCACATTCTGTCGTTATTCTGACATGCTGCCATTTCCCCCCTGAGGAATGCAAGCAAGAAAAGGATAACGGTGGCTTTCTATCTACTGCAAAAAGACCTTAAAGACAAAAAGGTCACAGAGAACCCTCTCTTCTGAAAATGTGTAAGTGTAGGTGAATGGGGCATGAAGGACTGCTAGGGGTTGGGGAAGAGAGAAGATGTATAAATTAAGATGTGCAGGCCTTTAACAACCCATGCTGAAACTATAAGAGGGTCATAGTGGGGCTTAACTTAAAAAACAGGAAACGCTGGCTGGAGCAATATGCTTTCCTTCCCATGAACTGTATTATTTGCAAAATATGCAGATGATTTTTACAGAATTTTCAATAGGAACATGTTGGTGTTTATTGCCCAGAATATTTCATTTGTGAGGTAAATTCTCTCTACCTTGCTTAGGATTTCAACATTTGTAAGTCGCTGCTCACTCCAGGAGTATCTTTAATGGCTCATATTAATTCAAGGTGTCCCTTTATGCACTTAAAAAAACCCCTTCCTTTTAATGACATTTCCATTTATTCAGAATTATTATTTAAAATCCTAAATTAGCATTCTGCGCTTGGATTCTGACAGAGCCATTACATTTTATACTGAAAGGGTTTAGTTAATTTAAAATTATTAAACCCCATTGGCTGCATGATGGGAGCATCTTTAAGCAAATTTCTATATTTCAGGTGTATGCTAACAGCATACAAGTGCAAACTGGATTAGGATCCGTTTGCCTTTGTTGCTTACATTCTTATATATGGCAAAGTTGTTATTCTAGGTTTCACCTGCTGTCCTGAAGTAGCTAAAACTAAATAACAGATGAACATGCTAGCAGCAATATAAATAACAACCTGTCCTCTGTCTGTCCCAAGGTGCACTGATGATGTTGCTTTTCAAACTAAAGCCAGTGAAACTGACATAAGTAATTATGAGTATTCTTCTGCTTTTTTTTAGATCAAGCTGCAATAAAAGAAAGAATATGAAAACTCATGTCGCAAATTGTATGCTGTCAACTATTTCTGTTTATTTTGAATTTAAAAAAATGCAACTACGTCATTCAGAAGAATTATTTCACTTTGGTCTGTATTTGCTTCTTTCATATGTTTTCTTTCACAGTTTTTGGATAAGGCCCCGATTTCAATTCCTGCTGGCCTAAATCATCCAGTGGCATTTGTGCCATTGAGTTTTAAATGGCTTTAAATAATATTTATCCTACAGAATAACTGATATCTTTTTTGGTAGTACCAAGAAGTAAATTTCATCTATTTTACATAGATGAAATCCAATGTTATATCTTTAAGAACCATAGAGCTAAAAAGACTTTCAAATTTCAATGTGCCTGAGATCTTGTGACCCAAGGAATAAGAGGGAAATGGAAAATGTTATAACAAACAGCGTGGTTAAAATGTAGTGTAACTAGTAAAGTAACTTTTGTCTTAGAACTGTGAAATTGCACTTGTAGTGTGGTGTGGATATCTAACAATCAGCAGCATCTAGAGCAGTTTAGTTGCTGTGACTTCAGGTGAAATTTGCCACAAGCAACAGATCCGGTTCTAATTATTTTTCTGAATCTGCCAACAACCATGATCATTTACATGCATTACTAATTCGCTTATCTCCTGAAACTTGAGCTGCACAGTTTGGGTTTTACAGATTCATCAGATGAAACAATTGGGCTAATATCACCTTAATTAAATTAAGTTTAATTTTAAATGACTTGCTAGAGCACCTAACAAATATAACATCTTCAAGATGTTTTAGCAGATAGATACGCCTTTGTTGTGCACACTTGTCAATGTAGTGAGAAAACATCTTGTTAGCATGAAAGGCCCCTGAGTGTTTTAAAAGAGAATATCTTGTTTATATACTAATGTTTGCATTGATTGTCATTTGGGGATGAAGAAAAGCTATCCCAGTGCTGCTTATGGTGCCAGTATAATTTTAGTGCTCAAAAATACAAAATAAAAAATATTTTTCTAAAGACAGAATCCTTCATATATATTCAGCCTTGGTAGTCCCTTGACCACACATTTTCACAAGAAAGTGCACACTGAATCTAATTAACAACATGATCTGTGGCTCATTGAAGTCAATAGAAAAACTCCCATTGCCTTGACTCTGGGATGAAATACAGTAGGATGTTAAACCTTGTCATTGTGATAACATAAAAATCAGACTAATGTGAAAGGCAGCATGCTGTCAAACACAGCATTTGTAAGATATAGGGATATCGTTTGTAGCTGTTCAGGTCTAAGGGTACAGGCAGACAAAACTCTTGGGGTACAGGCAATATCTTTTATTAGACAAACTAAATAGTTGCAAAAAAAAATTTCTTTGCAAGCTTTCAGGCCCACATGCCCTTCATCAGGCAAAGGAGAATTCAAAGATTGCAAAATGTCTCCCAAGTAGAAAAGAAACTTCATCTTGCAAAGGGGAAATCAGAGATGTCAGGGTGTACCTAAGTGGAAAAGCCAATGTGTAAATAGCTGCTCTGTGAGAATGCAAATTAGGCGCAGACAAAGCCTGAAGCAGACCAGTCAGGTTACCTGAAGGTGTCAGATGGCAGGCAGGGTGTTCAGTTTGACTTCTTTATTGTTCAGTTGTAAATTTTTCATTTCAAAACAGCAAAATACAATATGTTTCTTGTTTCAGGGATATTGGTTGTAGCTATGTTAGTCTAAGGGTACAGGCAGACAAAACTCTTGGGGTAGAGGCAATATCTTTTATTAGACTTACTAAATAGTTGCAATTTTTTTTTCTTTGCAAGCTTTCAGGTGCACACACTCTTCGTTAGGCAAAGGAAATGGTGTTTCTAACGCACCCGTGAATCTGCTGGTCACCTTGTGAAAAAAGACATTTACTAACATTTAAAATCTTTGGTGTCTGGGTGTTTATTACCTGACCAAGTCCCATTGTCAGTAAATGTTGAATGTTTTAAAAGTAATCACTGAATATTTATCAAAATATTTAGATACAAGTAAGCACCTAAGAATGTATAAGATGCCAGTTCACATCTGGGCCAATTTGCAGGTGTTATCAATGACAGTGAGAGAGAAAGGAAGTGCAAAACGAGTGGGATCAAATTATAGGAATTCTATTTGCATCATACCTATACATAATATGAATATTAAGGAACATATGAATATTCAACATGTGTTTAATATTTATTCATACCTGGAATTTTGTCACTGACCCTTTAACTTTCTCTGCTAAAGCCAGTGTTCAAAGGATTATGCAGTTTTTGCTGCAAAACTTTTACATTTATCTGCTGTAAAATAGGTTGAATGGCACCAAAGAGTGTCGTGTTTAGTTTTAAAATGCCACAAATAACAGATTTATAGATTTTTCTAAATACATTATTTTAGCTTGACAGCATTAATCATTCATGCTTCCTTCTTTCATTTTTCTACCTGCAATGGATTATTGAAACAGAAAATAACAACGGGAAAGGCTACAAGCAGTATCAAAATGTCAAGTTTGTACTTACAGTTGTATGTGCGTAGACAGGGTCAAGAGCCTCAATTATTTGTATATGTACACAGTGGTACTACATGAAAGGTTATGTCACCTGCAGCTATTTTCTTGCAGATTTAAATAGGACTGATATTCAACTCCACAGTCAGCTACTGACATGGAACACAGAATTGTAAAATACTATGAACTCTCATGTCAGGACCTAAAATATGAACTGGGTGATTGCAAGGTGTAGCTGTGGGCAATCCTATGTATTGCAGTGTAAGTCCTTTAAATTACTTTGTGTTATCCCTGACCTGTTCTTTTCATTTAAGCATAAGCCAGGAACAACACGGAAGTAGTTTTCAGAGAAAAAGCAATACTTCTTATTTTTCAAATTTTTTTTTTTTAAGTAATACTGCTTTGTCTTTCTGTGACCACTAAATGTACAGGTATGATGATTAAAAAACACCTAAGAGCATGTCTTGCCTTGTGTCAAAGGTGACACAACAGAAATATTTGGAGAAGTTGGAGCTGATCAATGTATTTTTCACTGATGGTTTGTTTCTTTGTGTTATCTTTTAAAATGTGCTTTGAGATTATATAATATAGTTCCTAATGGGTAAAACTCAGTGTTATGCAGATGGTCAATGTTAGACCTAGGCATCAACAAGTGTCATTTTGATGGCTTAAGCCAGGGCTGTCCAATTTCTAAATCCACAGAGACCATGCCAGTGGGAGCCACATGCTGTGCAGGAAACACCAGGTGAGCCATGAGCCATTGGGCCACACTCTGCACAGGTGTTTTCCCCTTCTCCACCCCAATGCTGCTCTGTGTGCCTGTGCAGGCATGCTCTCCCCCCAAACTGCTGCACTGTGCAGATGAGATTCGCACCCTCCCACTGCACTGTGTGCCTTTTGTGGACACCTGCCCCCCACCTCACTGCTGCACTGGGTGCTGCCCTCCACTGCTGCCCCATTCAGCTGTGATCTCCCTCCCCAGGCAGCCCCATTTCCCCCCCCACACACACATGACCTGGGTTCCCCATCAGCTCTGCCCTGTGCTGCACTACCCCTTTCCGTGGGGCAAGGGCAGAGAGTAGCAGCTGGAGGAGGGAGAGAGGATCCTGGAAACTCACCCTACAGTTGCACCTAGAGTGATGGGGGGAGTTGCAACCAAATGAGAGCCCAACTAAACCCCTTCCAGGCCACATGTGGCCCACAGGCTGCCTGTTGGATAGCCCTGGTATAAGTAGTAAATAGACCTAACGCTAGTGTCTACACAAGGCAAAAAAGACTGATTTACTTCTCACTCCCCATACATACTCCCCTCCCCCCCCACATACAGATCAGTTGCCTTTAGGGTTCTGTAGACAGCTTTTTGAATGCCAGAATAGCAGTGTAGTCTAGATGCTCGAAGGCTTATTTCACACTCCTTCTATGCTTCAGAACAAAGTTCTGCTAGGGGCTGGTATGATGAAAGCATAGAAAAATGCTTTCAGGGAATGCGGTAGGGCTGTAGAAAGCTGTCCACCAAGGGGACTATTTCAGCCTTGAAGATACAGCAATAAACTAAGAGATAACTGTACCACCCCAGTGTGTAACCATTCATGCAGGCCATGCACTGAGTCCAGAATCTGGGTCTTATCCTTCAATTCTAGCAGAGAGTGATTAACAGGTACAAAGCCATTTACCAAAGACATGTGCCAACCCCTCTTTGTTGCTACATGACTGCTAGCTTGGAAGTTTCTTTGCTTCTTCATTTTGTGATAAAAAGGGGTTTTCCTAGTAATAGGATGCTGATGTTTCATAATTAAGCATTCAGAAGGAAGACTAAGGATCTGTTTCCTTATTAACATGTATTATAATGGTATCATTATTGATCTTTGTGATGGCATATTTATACATATGTTTAATGTAGTTTAAAATGATTGCATTGGCTGAGTCCAGACATGCAGGCACGTGCAGTTTGTGGCACCGCAAAGAGGTTTGCAGTGCCACAAATTGCATGTGTGCAATGCTAAAGTGTGCCTTGCACTGCAAATTTGCAGCATGGAGCCAAAATTTGTACCAGGAAGTCCTGGTAGCGCAAAAAGAAACACCAGGAATAAGGCGGAGTGGCGAAGAAGACATGGAGGCTCAGTCCTTCAGGAGATGCTGTGGCTGCCAGGCAGAGTGTCTTCACCCTTGCAGTTGTGCCCTGGCTCCTCCAGCACGCTGGGAGTCAGGAGGAGGTGGGGAACCGCAATTTGCCTGAAGTGCAACAATTTGTCCCTTTGTGCCTCACTGAAGCATGCATTTAGGGGCATGTGCTACAGCAAAAAGTAGCAGCACAATTTTTTTATGTTTCTCTTCTATGTATATGCTGTTCACATGGCAGTATTCATCTATAGATCTGAATAGTGGTGTATCACAGAGTGCACATGCACAGGCAGAGTTAAGGTCACAAATTCAGCATTAGCTTTTTTCTTTATGAATTACCGAGGACCAATTCTCAGATCCATGGGACTACATCAGAGCAGGACTTGTCTTTGAGGGTTTGCCTTTCTCTAATGTCAATGTTGTTTTAACATATTCTGTCACTGAATATTACAATATTATGATATAATTAATGCTGGAAAAGAGCTGTGTCTCTTACAGCAAAGTAATGAAACATATATCATTGTAAATAATATCAAGGGTTGAAGGTCAGATATCAGTGCCAGTCTCTATCAGCAATCAGGTAGCACAAATCACTGATTTTTGCTGAACTAGTAAGATTATTGTTGCAAGCCTCTTTTGAGAGATGCTATTCCCTAAGCCATCATGGTAATGCATCGTACTAATCTGTACCTTATAATCACTAAAACTTTCTGTTCATTTTTAGGATTTGTCAAATCTTAAAATACAGATTTCACTGTCTCAAACCACACCGAAAGCAGATTAAGTCATTAAGCATTACTGAGGGGACATATTTTCCAGAGCTTATTACTAATGCTGTTATGCATCAAAAAAAAAGTTTGATCACAGATTTCTCTAGAAGAAAAAAACAGTTCTCTGTTGTCTCTAAAGCAAATGGTTGTAGCTGTTATTATCTAACTCATTCTCTGGTTTCATTTTTGTTTTTGAGCCAGTTAGCTCCAAAAAGTAGTTGTGTATGTATAAGGCTTAATTGATGTATAAGGGATAATTGATACAAAGAAATACTCTTTGCTACAGAGAAGTTTTTCCTTTGTATTTTTAACATCTTCAAACATTTTTTAAAAATGCTTTAAAATATTAAATGATTTTAAGCATGTCTTGAACATTAACATTTAGGAGAGAATGCAGTGAAATTGCTCCTACAAGGTTAGGTGGAACAGCCATGATAACTGTACAATCCTGGGCACCCTTGAACACACAGACAGTTCTGTTTAAGTTAGTGGAAGTGTGTAAAAAAGGGTCATTAATCTTGTGGGTTGGGGGCCTAGTCAGTCACTAGGGGAAAATCCTCTGTGTATATGTGCCCAGGGGGTAAAGTACACCAAAAGTTGCAACTCGGTGGCTTGCAGAGGACAGTAAAGTGTCAGATGAATTGGGTACAAATCCTTTGTCTCCCAGCCCAGTGAAGATTTCCACAAAGATAAATCACCTAAGCAAAACCCAGTCTCCAAAAGGTATTCTGCATTTAGGTTTAGGTTTGGGTTTTGCTGAACTGCCACAGCCAAAGGAGGTGCTGGTAAATGTGCCAGAATCTGGAGCTACAGCTATTAAAGCCATTTAGCAATAGTGGAGAGACAGGGAATGGGAATCCTTCAGTTTGTGTGGGCCCCACTGATAGTTCTGCCTGGGGGACAACCTATCATCCCAACTCTGATCCACCTTATGATCTCCTTGTGCTTTGCTGTAGGTGAGAGATTTCATGATGCATATTAAGCAATAGTGGAATATAATGGTAGCATTGAATGACCTGAAAGACAACTGTCTGATTCATGCCAACTCATTTGTATGTCAAATAATAACACAATACAAACATTGTTTTCAGTGACTTCGAATCAAATCTGTCTTACAGCCACAACATCTTCTTCATCCAGTTGGAATATATCCATTCATGGCGTAATGTTCAAATGGACCCCCTTGATTGAGGTTCCCAAACACAAGATGCAAACATTCTGCAAATTATATATTCTCTCATTTGAAATAGAGTTATGTAAATTGTTGAAAAGAACAGGTCTCTATATAGTTATATTTTTACAAATTGTGTTCTTTACCATTTCCATTGTAGAGGATTTAAAGAGGTTTCATTTTATGATTAAAAACCAATTTTTTCTTACTGTTTACTGGAAGCTGTATATTTCAAACATATTATCTTCTTATATGAAACTGATATTATAATCATCTTCCATAAGATATAATTGTGGAGAAGCATCATAAGAAGTGTTATATTCATCAACAAGGAGAGCTACTTACATGGTGCTTTGTGGTCCTAGTATTTTCATCAAAGCTAAACAGTAGATATTTCAGTTCTTTCAAGCAAAAAAATAACCCATGTCTCCAATGATAACCAGTGTTCCCAGACATACTGATAAATAAGATACATTTACAGTTCTTTTATTACCACATTCTTTGACAAGATAAAATAAGCAGTATTTTGTGGAACATTACAACTTACAAAAAAAGCTAAGCTACTGTCCAAAGACACTGAAAAATTTTAGTATATATACATTTTATTTTCAGCTGGCTTGTGGATGATTAGGGTCTCCCAACACTTTGACAATTTTCATATAATACTATGAAGAATTTCATGATTTCCCTTCATCTTACTGCTGCTACCACCCCAATACATCTTTTCTAGTAAAAATTATACAAATCTATGGTTTTTACTCTTCTCACATATAATAAATCCTGTAGATGGTTCACATACACATTAACTACAATCTTTTTTCCTCTGCAGTTCAAACAACAAAACCTCAAATATATTACACAAGAGAGGATATGAAACAAGGAAACATCACTATGGTGAGAGTTGAGTAATTTCTATTTAGAAAGATTTACCTGTGTGTCTTTTACATAAACACTAGTTGAACGACTAGGAAAAGTTGGGTCATCTACTGGCATCTGTTTCTTTGCATGAGCTATCCCAAGAGAATAATACTTATTGAGCTAACATGAGTTACATGATGGACCATAATCCAGAGTTTTCAAATTGTCTTGGCAGCTGTTCACTTGTTGAATAGCTCTGTGACTTTCTAAGGAATTCTTTGCTCGATCCTGTCAAGGCAAAGAAAGAGTCTTGATATATACAAAATGCTATCTATGCTTTTGTCTTGAATAATCTCTCTTCACAACATGCTCATCTATGAAGCCTGACTTTACTGTTGAGAAGAGACTGCCAGAATTCTTTTAGCCTTAGGATTTTTTTTCTCTGCTGTTGCTGTAATGGACTTTCTTTAGGTCAGCTCCATGGTATTCCTAGATTTGCTTATACTCAATACGTTCCCCTTGTTTGTGTTGTTTTTTGTTGGCCTGAATAATGGCTTCCCTGGGAAAAGCAGGCGTTGTGTGCTTGAAGATGTCGGTTCCAAGGGACAGGGACCTGGGAAACAGCACCCCCAAAAGGAATGAAATAACTTACTCATAACTCTGCAGCAAGGGAAGAAAAGAGTAAAGCTGTGATTTTTATCAGCCCTGTCTGCAGTCTTGAGTATAAAGCTTTATTTTAGACCGTAGGGCCCCACTTCTACGTTGAGATCTGCATCGATAGAGGAATCTGCCCACATACGATTCACTGCAGGCTATACAGTTGCAACCTGACAGAACTTGAAATTTAAATTTATCATGATACCTGTAGACATATAGGAGGTAGTAGGCAAAACAGATCAAAGTAGGAAGACAAAATATCTAGAATATAGTTTTAGAAGTGATGAAATACCTCATGCTTGTTTCTAGATGTGTTTTGGGGTTTTGTTTTATTAATGCAGGTCATTGTTTGGTGGTGTAACATTGGTGGACGGGGCACCTTGCGAAGGGCCTCTTAAGATGTATGACAGCTGCATTCAGAAAGAATATGGACCAGCTTTGGACAAAGTAGAGAGTACTTGTGGTGTCCAAGAGAACAGTAGAATTTGGGGGGAAAGGTATGTGGAGCAGGAATAATAGTAATAGAGCAGGAGCTCTATTACCCCAACAGTTAAGAACGATCCCCATAGATTCATTTAAAATGTGTATTAAAAATTCAACTTTTTCAGCTATGCAGCTGCAGTAGAACAAACACAAGCACTAGTAAGACTAAGATTTGCTACTCCATCATTTTCTGTGTTACTGTACGTGTCTTTTTAAGAGCTCATTATGTCTCATCCTGAAAGATCCCCCAACAATAATCTACTGCTGCAAGAAGTCTACATATATGCATCCTATGTCTCTATTACCTCTTTCTTTTCTTACCTAGTGTATCATCTCAAGGTCTTTGTTTTACTGTTTAAAATTAATCCTTTTATTATATTTATATTTAATAATTATTATATTTATAAAATGCATCACTATTGTTGTTGTTCTTATTGTAATACTACTGTTGTTGGTGGTAGTTTTGTTGATATTAATTTATGTCCATGTGTTCGTTCAGTAAGTCCCTTCATTGTTTGAAGGTTCTTCTTGATAGGTAGTTTGGAATGCAAAATGATTCCCAAGCACTTGAAACTTGTATATAGTACATACTTGGAGGCAGAGGTGACTGAGCAGGGTGCAGGGCCTGGGGCAAATGAGCCTGTGCGGGTCCCCACCCCTTGACGTGAGGAAGCTGGCAGCGGATTCATTGGCAGGGGTGCTGAGTGGCTGGAGGAAGCGGATTCAGTGGCAGGGCGGGGGTTGCCAAGCGGCCAGAGGTGGTGCATGGGGGGAGGGGGGCAGTGGTTCTGAGCAGCTGGACGTGAAGCTGGTGGCAGCATGGAGTCACCGCGGCTGCTCTGCTCAGTTCCACAGGGCCCCCCAAGAGATTCACGCCCCTCCCCTCCCCCCCACCCAGGGACAGTCCTGCTTGGTGGAACAGCTTTCCTAAGAGAGTTTAAGTTGCCTTTGATAGGTGGTGCCCAAATTAATGAGGCAATTTTGAAAATGCCAGCCTGAATGACTTTCTCCCTTGTAGCTAGTTATGGGAAGATTTTAAAATGCCTTTGACTACCATCTAAGTTAGACCAACAATGAATGTCCTAAATCTTGTACCAGAAACTTGCTTTACAAGCAGGAGGTCCTACCAAAGAAATTCCAGTTTTGGGGTGGTGGTTCTGCTGTTCATTTTCCTTTAACATTTTGATGCGTGTGAATACTTATGCAGAAAAGTGGAGGAAAAAGTGAAAAACCTTAATTGTATTTGCTATTCCTTGCTATTTCCCCCCTCTCCCTCCTTGTTTTCCTGTTAGGGTTTTCCTTACATTTTAACATTTGTTTATTGGGTTTCATTTGAAAGAGTAAACTTGGCTTTGTTTCTTGATTTACTTTATATACATTCTAATTTATTTGTCCAGTATTTTGGCCTGTTGTTTTTCTTTTCTGAGACAGTGGCTAGAGTAGCTCTTCATCACTCATATCATGTCAGTGTCCAGCATCGGCAGATACATCTCTACTAGGGCTGTGTGAAACAGCATCGTTTCCTTTTGACTTCTGTTTTGACATGACAGTGTTTCATTTTGAGTTTCATTTCATTTTGAAAGCACTGTTCCATTTCATTTCATTGAGAAGAGCTGGTCGTCCACAGCAAGCATCTCCCCAGTGCTCTGGATGATATCACTTGCCCTTTCAATATGCCCCACTTTCTGTCTGCCTGTCCTGCACTCTTCCAGGGTGGCCTGCCTCTGCTTTGAGGGATAGGGGCTTTGGAGTGAGAGGGGGACTTCCTTTGGGCATGCTCCTGCTGGTGCCAGGCTGAGGAGGAGCAAAGGCAAGGGGGTGGTGCCTGCAAAGATGCATCAGCATCCCTGTGGTGCTCATGTATTTTGTTTCCTTGCCCTGGCTGGTTCTGGCTCAGCAGTGCAGGCATATAGCATACGTGGGATCATCTGCCATCTCAGAATGATCCCAGAACACACTACCCACTCACTTCTGGGGTGCGGGTGAATGTGTGGATGCTGCAATATCCCCCTCCTCAGCAGGCAAAGGCACAGAAACAGGAGGAGTGGACTTAGCTGAGCCACTTGCCTCTGCAACCTCTACCTCAGCCTCCTCTGAAGTGTCGTCTGGGGGAGGTGACCTGGCTCTGGGAGAAATTTGAAGGATCTGGAGCACAAACTCAGCTGATTAGCTCTTCTTCCCCAGAATTTCCATTGCTAGGACACTCAGATCCAGATCCACCTCCAGCTCTTCTTTTGGCACTGAAAGATTCAGCATGAGAAGTGAAATGAGGGTGGAGGAGACTGTTGTGCTGGTGCTGGTG